AATAAAATGAAAGCATTCCAGATTATGAAAACATTCCAAATTATTGTCTCTTGACAGACCAATATTGACCTGACTTACATTTTTTTTTTTTTTTGTCTGGATAAGAGATTTACTACACTGTTTTTCCCTGCTGTGGTAGAGCTCTCAATATCTACTGAAAGTGTTACAGAACCCAGGCCTATAGTTTCGGCCCTGTTCTGGGCCAGTAGTTTAGCCCAACAGGGCCACCTTTCTGCCCTGCTGTGGGGTTGAAAGTATGGATTGATTCAATTTACTTAAGAAAATGTGGGGAATATCTTCAATATACTAGCATTGAGGTAGAGTAACAAGGAGAACAATCTAGGCAGGAACCTGTTTCTATGAAACACTCTACTAGCTGAGAGTTTTGTCAGTGACTGCTGTTATAGTTAAAAATAAAGTCTTTTAAAAAGGAATGCTGTCTTCACTTAGTTTTTAGACACTGGCTGGAGGCTGGTCAGTTTCTTTCTTTGAGCTGCTGATTAAGTCCATACCCCCAAGGACTTCCCTTATCAGGCTCTCACACTCTGGAACTCTGCACCATCTCTAATCGCCTCAGGGCCAGATACTAGACAACTAAGAACAGCTTCTATGAGCCAGAGAAATTATTCAAATAAGCCAGTTCGCAGGGAGCTCAGGAAACCTAGCTAACCCCACCCAGCTTGCCAAGCACAAACTGCCTGCTACAGCTCAAGCTTGTTGTTACTCTGTCCCCAGGTGCAGTCCCTCTGTGGCCCTGGGTGGCACCGTTTTGTTCTTTTATCTGGAGCTGCATGTAGACAGAAGTTTTGTTATCCATCTATTTGAGAGTGTTGGTGTGTACCTCACCAACTAAAGAAATTTCTTATAAAATTTAGCTGCAACCAGCAAAATTTTTGTTTTTCCCTTCATTGTTATGGAAATTGCAAAGGATTTAGAGGTACTAGTTGGTGGTGAATAGGAGGTGGAATCACGATTTTAATACAGGAGAATTCTTTTTTAAAAAAATTAAGTAACTTAATTTCCCCACCAAGGACTCTAGCAGGTTAATACACCCCATTTATTCACATATTTATTGTGTGTTTACTATTTTTTTTTTGAGATGGAGTTTCGCTCTTGTTGCCCACGCTGGAGTGCAATGGCGCGATCTCAGCTCACTGCAACCTCCGCCTCCTGGGTTCAAGCAATTCTCCTGCCTCAGCCTCCTGAGTAGCTGGGCTTACAGGCGTGCGCCACCATGCCCAGCTAATTTTTTGTATTTTTAGTAGAGATGGGGTTTCTCCATGTTGACCAGGATGGTCTCGATCTCTTGACCTCGTGATCCACCCATGTCAGCTTGCCAAAGTGCTGGGATTACAGGTGTGAGCCACCATGCCCAGTTGTGTGTTTACTATTTACTGTGGCCCTGGAATTATAACATCAGGAGGTATGCAATAAACAGAAAGTGTGTATCCTTCTCTTGAGAAGCCTATAGATTTATGAAGGAGACATGATATGCAATTAAAATGATTACAGAGAAAAAAATCAATCATGTAGTAATGTAATCAAACCATCCCTAAAACCAAAAAAAAAAAAAAAAAAAAAAAAAGAAAAAGAAAGAAAAAAGAAAACAATGCTAAAGAACTACAGAAATAAGTTTGCTTGCAATTTTCAATAACTAACTTAAAATCCCTTTTTTAGACTTTCCTAGTTATTTTGCTGGATAAATGTTTGTGTTACTGCTCTGTCCCTCAGTTCATTCTTCCCAGCTCTGAAAACCTTTCTCTGAGGCACACAGGGCCTGGCTGTTTCCAGCCTTGCTATAAGAAGCTCAGATGTTTTGGAGTCATGTGGATTTTGAGCTGAAGTAGCTAACAAGGTTCTCTCAAGGGATGGATTTGGAGGAATGTGTTGGCAGTTCAGATCAGATGAAGCTATTTATTTTAAAACTTGGGTGCGTTTCAAAAAGGAAAATGGTTTCAGCCCAAATTCATTTGCTATACCAACCCTCCTGGTTGGGGAATTGAATGTTTAGCTAATTTATTTTTGATGAGCAGGCTTCTGTGTGTTTTAAATGATGGCTGACTGGCCTGGAATTTGGACTCCTCTAGAAGGCATTGGGTGTTGCTCTATGGCTTTCAAGGGAACTCATGGTTTTCCTGGAGGAGATGTAGGAAGCTGTAGTTGATGAAGCCTCTGCCCTTTCTGTGGACCTACTCTCCAGTGACTTTCAATCATTCTTCCTAACTAGCAATTCATGCTTTCTTATTAAATATCTACCTTGAGTAAAAGATTGTGGCAGCCTCTGCAAGGAATGCCAAACACGTCAACATAGAGAGGAGGCCAGGACTCTGTACAAGGCAGAATACGCGCATTGCCATAAAAGAGGCATAAAGTGCATGGAGTGAGGAAAGAATCACTTCAAACTGGGTGAATCAGATGGAGCTTTACAGAAAGAGAAGTACTTGAGCTGGGACTTGGAGAACAGGTTTGATTTGGCAGCTAGAGAAGGAAACTGTAAACTGCAGTGGGCCAACTGTCCTCTCCACTTGTTTTGATAAATAAAATTGTGTGGGAACACAGCCAATACATTGATGTATCGTCTACAACTGCTTTCAGACAACAGAGTTGAGTAATTGTGACAGAAGCTGTATGGCCCTCAAAGTACAAAAAAATTTACTATCCAGCTCTTTAGAGAAAAAGCTTGTGACCCCTGTTTAAAGTCAGTTGTTTAAGGGAATGATATATGCCCTTGCTATTTGGACTTGATGTAGGCCAAAATATATGACTTCATTTGGCAGGCATTCTGGAGACAAAGTGACTCTGAGTGCTGGGAGTGTTTGGATGATATGATGGTTCTGAATTTCAGGACAGTGAGTGTGGCAGATGGACTATGGAAGAGAGATGCTACAGGCAGGAAGAAAAAAATTTATAAGTTCATGTTGTCACCTAAGTGAAAAATAATGAATCTGGATTAGAAGCATAGCTGTGATGAAAGAGAGAAGACACAAAAGGTATTGTGAATAAAGCACTGTAAGGGTAGACGAAAGGAAAGAGAGAATTGAGGATGACTCTGGAGTCTTGAGCCCGAATGACTGGGAATGTCAATGACCCTTTCTCTGAACATCCATCCATCTGAGCTGGATGAATTGGGTACTCCTCCCATCCTTCCCCAATTAGGAGAAGGGATAAAGCTGGAGTGGCTCCATCCCTCCAGGGCAGCTAGTGTTGAGAGGAGAGGTGGTCAGAAGCTTTTGTTATAGAGGGAGCAAGACCCAAAGCCTTGCCTATGGAAAAATGTCTTTTACTAGACAGAAAATCAGGCTATGTTATCTCTGAGACAAAAATATGGCATGAGTTGGAGGGGTGTCCTTATAATTTGGGTCACCTTGGAGGCTTGTCAGATGAAAATAAAATGCCCAGTTAAATTTGAATTTCAGATTAACAAAGATTTTTTTGTGAGAATATCCCAAATATTGCATGGGAGATATTTATACTAAAGATTACTTGTGGTTGATCTGGAATTCAAATTTAATGGAATAAATTTCAGATCAACAGTCAATAATTTTTTAGTGTAATATTTCCCAAGTATGGAATATATTTATAATAAAAATTATCTGTTGTTTATCTAAGTTCAAATTTAGGTGGGCTTTTATTTTTCTCTAAATCTGACAACACTACTGTGCTGTGGTAAGCAGCCATAGCTCTCACTTTTGGTCAGACAGAGCACAAATTGGGACACCTGTATTTGCTTTCTCATGTCAGAGTAGAGTTGACATCCCCAGAGTTTCTGGAGCCCACAGCTGAGTGTAGGATAGCTCAGTGAACATCAGGCCTGGGTATGAGGCACTTTTCTGGAGTGTGGACAAAGGATGGACCCAGGGGTGTGATAGGATAAGGTTTTCAGTGATGGTGGTTTGATCATCTAGCTGAGACTTAAAAGAGGGTCTGGATTAAACAGGAAAAGCAAGTTCAAGATGGAGAAAAATTCCTTAGAGGAGCCTCCTTTCAAATACATAATTCTGGAAGGAATTGTTTTGTGACAGAACAAAGCAACAGCTAGGCTAGGTAAAGGTTCCAGCTTCTATCACACTGGCTCCAGTGTACAGATCTGCTTACCTCAGTCCTTTGGAACTTTGATATGTTAGCTCAGTAAATAGGTGAACATTATCTATCCACAGTCATGGAGCTATGTGGTAGTTAATTTTTTGTGTCAAGTTGGGTACACTATGGTATCCAGTAATTTGGTTTAATACCAGTCTAGATATTGCTGTGAAGGTATTTCTTAGAGGTGATTAAAATTAAAGTCAGTAGACTTTAGATATAGCTGATCACTTTCCATAGCATGGGTGGTCCTTATCAAATCAGTTAAATGCCTTAAGAGAAAAGACAGGTTGCTGAAAGGGGAAGGAATTCTGCCTCTCAGCTGCTCTTGAACTCAAGACTGCAACATCAACCCCTGCTGGAATTTTGCAGGCTGCTATCCTGCCCTGCTAGATAGCCTCTTAAACTGTTATTAGTCAATTACTTAAAATCTCTTTCTCTCGCTTTCCCTCTTTCTGTCTCTGTTGTGTTTCTCTAGAGAACCCTGCCTCATACAGGCTGCCACACAGGTAATCCTGGAGTGGCAATGACTTCCATCCCACTTCTCACCAATCTCATCCAGAGCCATTGCTGGTTTCTGGCAGCCATAGATTCCTCTTCCCAACTCCAGGCCTGTGCAACAAAACCGAACTCCCTGGTTACACAAATAGGTCATCAAGATACAGTCTTTAGTCAGAGGAGGGCAGGACCCACCTGGCTTGGGACACACATCCAAGGGCTGTCATATAAGAGAGTGGGTTGCTCCCCATAGCTTGATGGGTAGAGCCTTGGCCTTGCAACTTTGGGGTCTGGGGCTGTGTCCTTTGACCTCAGAGATGCTGTCAACATAGCAGCTCAAAATCACTCTGCACAGTATGTGCTGTAGAGCAGTCTGTGTCTAAGAAGGCTATTTCACCAAATTTCTTTTCCTCTTTCTCCAGCCCCCTCACTGGAGAGATGATGCAAACAAAGACATGCAGGTGGACATGGAAAATCGGGTGGATGGTATGTCTGCCCTTCTCCCAGCTCCCTAGCAACAGCCAGATTATCCTTTTATAAGTCTTATTATGGAAACTCTAGCTTTTCTGTTCAGGTCTCTTCTCTGTTTTTTGTTTCTCAGCATCTTTCTCCCTGCCTGTCTGTGTCTATCTATTTCTCTTTATCCTTTCCTCCCTCCCACCACACCCTATCTCTGTCTCTGTCCCTCTTGCATGTTTCTTTCTCTCTGGTGTGATTTCCCACATTAACCACCATCCATTTCTTTGATTCCTTCTTGGCAATGAGAGCTATAGCACCATTATGCAACAAGCAGTCCTGCTTCCTTGCTACCTTGAAATAATAATGTTTCATAGTGACAAATGGATATGGTTAACAATGAAAGTAAAATGCTCAGCAGGCAGGGGTGTGACTATGTTAGATTTCCCTGCTGGTAAAATGGACAGTGGCCTAAGAATCTCTAAAGAGAGATTTGTATATGGGAATAGTTGGTGATGTTTGCCAGGTGGACTACTCTGCCATTTTATTCTTAATTTAGCTTCTATGAATCTCCAGACTAAGTTCTCAAAGGTGAAACAGTAGTCACTCTTAATTTACTAAGTTTTTCTCTTGTCCTAAGAAACTTAAAATATGTTAGTGGATGTTAAAACCTGGCCTTTCCAGATTTACAACTGTTATTTTTCTTTGATAAAACAAACAAAAAAAAAGACACACAAAAACACTCAATCTGAATTAATGAAGAAACATAATGCTTTTGGTGCCCTGGTGATTGAAGTTTCTACATTGTGTCAGAAAAGCCTCAATTAGAAGAATGGAGTTTTTCTAGCCTTCTCTTCCCTCCTCACCACTAAGAGGAATGCAAGATTAATATTAAGAAATCTCCCACCCAAGTGCTGTCCGCATGTGCATATGTGCATGTCTGTGTTTTGTACGCTGCATGTGTGACTTTCTCCTGGATGCAGATGGCTACTCCAGGAGCAACATATGTGGGCTGTGTATGTTTGAAAGTCAGTCTGGTTGTGCGCATGGAAAGAAGAAAACAAGAGAGTGAGGTGGAAACCACACAAATCTAAATCAAAAGCAACTGTTCTACCATGAGGAAAGCAGGCAAACCTTGCTTTGTGCACACTCCACTCTTTCTTTGCCGCCCAGACTGATCTTTGAAATAAAATAAAGAAGCGTGGCAAACTAACTGAAACATAGGTAGAAATAATATATTTGGGTTTCAGAAAGAAAAAAAAATAACCTGGCATAGCTTAAAAGGCACCCATTTCATAACAACACATGTGCAAAGAATTACAATAATTGCAGTGCACACATCAGGAACAGACAGAGTGAACAATGAATATTAAAAACACATTCCTAGAGCTGGCCCTGTGGCTTGGCACACAGCATGAAGACCTGCAAGGGAGTCAAAGGAAGCCTCTGCTTTTCCAGAGCTGTCAGGGCTTGGCAGGAGCTGAGGTGGGAACCTTTGGTGTGTGAGGAAAGTAGACGGAGGAAGGTGGTGGAGACTATGCCCAGTGGTGTGACTCTTGTTGCCTCCTGGCACAGCCTAGGGTGGCTTCCGGAGGGTTTCAGAGAAGAAGTCAGCCTCAGCCATTTGGGGATCCAGTTCAGAGCTGAAGTGGAGCCAGACTGAGAAGGAGGAGGTATGGGGATAGAAAAACAAACACCAGAGAATAAACAGGCAGAAGGTAGTGCTTGGACTAACAGCCAGCCTGTGTCCTGCATGAAAATCCCAAGTCCTCTCTCTCTCTCTACTTCCAGGCTGCCTACAACATGATCTAGCATGAGAGACTTTACCGGTGCCGAGACTTAGACTGGCGAAGTGTTTACCTTCATGGACTAAATACATTGATTTGCCTTTTTTCTTTTAATATTTGCTGTACAGTGAGGGGATGAATTCCTCTGGTGGTGTTTTCCAGAACCTTCAAAGGCACATTAACCAAACATTAAAGGTACATAATGATCTTTTCAGTGAATCCCTTCCATTGTCAGCAAAGACAAAGGCCCTTCTCTTAAGTACAGCTTTGGCTTTGAATGTTCAGATTTTGCCTCTTGCCATTGGCAGGGAATCAACTCTGGAATCCTTGCATCTTTGGCAATGAGAGAGGTCAGAGGGTGGGAATTTCTAACTGGAGAGTTTGGTTCCCATGCTGAGAATTGAGGTCTGAGGATTCTTAAGCTACAGGCCATAAACGTTCTAAGAGACATGGAGATAGAATTCAGGGAGTGCCATTAAGGTGGATGAAAAAAAGAGAGACATCTTTATTTTTGCTAATCTCTGAAATTTAGCATTCTTTCTATCACAAATGTAGGAAACAAACTGTAGTCATGTTAGTAATACTTATGACTTTGTCACGAGTAAAAATTACAGATATTTTAATGTCATTTTGTTGTTGTTTCAGATGTCTCCAAGTTATTATTTCTATTCCTCATAACTTTGGAATTATAACAATTATTAGATCCGTTATAAAATCTTGTTATTTTATGCATTAATGAAGAGGCAATTATAATAAAATACTTTGATAACTGTATTTTCATGTAATTGGTTTCCCTTGGCATCATATTATGTACTGTATTTTATTCTTGTTAAAAAACATTATTCTGAGAAGGGGTCCACAGAGCACATGGCTGCATTACCAGAAGGTTCCATGGCACACACAGCATTTGCCAGATAGCAAAGAGAATCCAGACTCAAAAACAGTCATGACACACAGGGGATGCCACAGTGGCCCGGCCTCATGTGCGTCTCCACACATGGGGAGAGAAGGAAAAGGCAAACATATGTCTCCAGACACAATACTGAGGATTTAACAAGGAAATTTTACTTACTACTTCTTAGATATGCTCAGCAAATGTTAGCATTCGCCAAGGCGAACATTTGCATTTTCTCTTCAACAGTTTTTGGCAGAGCTCCAAAATTGTTACATGAAAAATAAAATAAAATAAATCCCCCCAGCACCTCCAGTGTCTCCAGATACTGGCCAAGAGTGTTTGCCTTGAATCACAATCAATAAGGTGGAAAAAGACTGATGATGAACTGTTTTGCCAGTTTCTACACCAAGTGGAAGGACAGAACAGCTGTAAAAGGGGTGGGGAGAGAATCAGATAATACAAGATAAGATAGGGTGACATCTCTGAAATCAAGGCATCAGCTAACAGAACTGACACCCACAAATGTCAGAGAGGCGAGTTAGAAAGTTCCTGTATTTCCAATTGTCCTCACAATAGAGGGCGGGAGGAGTTCAAATTTGGAAGCAATGATTCCTTTCATGGATTAGAACCTGAAATCCTGCTGAACTCCCCTTGTACCAATACAGAATCTAACACTGGGAGGGGTGCTGAGAGAAACAGGCTACTCACAACACTTCAAAATATGAATCTCAGTATCTGACTCACAAGGGACCAAAGTTCTGTCCTGGAGAAAATATGGAAAATGGTAGTAACCTTCATGGACAATCTTTTTCAACCTGAAATATTGAATGTTATACTAGGGTTCTTGCTATATAAGTAAGTCAAGAGAAAGAGAGAGAAATGTTTGGAAGGATCTAGATTCATTATGTACCAGACACTATATTAGTTTTTTGGGTCTTTTTTTTGGTATGTTTATCTACCTTGTTCATCCCTTTCAGCACTTATAAGAGGTATTATCAGCCCAAGTCTTTCGGATGAGGGCACACTGAAGTTTAGATAATGAAATAGCTTGATTGAGGTCACAGAACTAGTCAGTGGGATTTAAACCTAGGTTTGTCTGATCCCCCAAACCGCTATTCAGTTATTTCAAATGGTTCCAATTATAAAAATCTCTGTGACTAAATCATTAAAATCCAAGAAGTCATTATATAGTTGAAGGATTAAATTTCAAGTTAGGAACATAAATGACAATGTGGTAACAAGTTACATGTTGTCAAGAGAAACTTTATAATAGCAAACAAAATTGTTTCTCATCTGCAGAAGCCAAATGGGCTTGTCCATCTATTTTAATCCTCAACTTAAATAAATATAAAAGCAGGCACCTGGAACTGAAGAGCTCCTTGATGATCTACTCATTTTCCCACATAGTAGTGCCCTGGATCTATTGTCAGATTGTGAAACTGCCGTCACCATTCCTTGTCAATAGGAAACAGGAAAATCCAGCTGGTGTATAAGATTCTGACCAGATTTTGTTGAGTTCAAAGTGTGTCTTTGCACGAATTACCATCTCTTACCAACTGTATCTGCAGGGCACCCAAGGTTAGAGTTAAGGTCAGGAAAACAGCTATTAAAAATTAGGAAAAGGTAACAAAAGAAAATCTCAAAGACATGCCAGGATATTCATCAAGGAAACACTGCTCTTCACCATCCATATGGCTTCTCCCATTTCAAGGAAAGCCGTGATGAGAGAGTGGACATATTTAAGGTCCTCCTTAAAATAATTTTGCTCCATCACATCATGGCAAAATATTGTAGTCTACAAGCTACATGCATGAGGTGCTACTTTTGGATGACCTTTAAGGCCTTGTCCAGGCTTCACTTTCTATGATTTTTAGGAGGTTAACAATTGTTAAGAAAGAAAAACCTCTAAAGGTGTTTTCATAATGTCTTGTGGCTGTTAGAACGGAAAAGGTTTTTGATTGAAGTTCAGTTATGCAAGACTACAGCTCTTTCATGCTGCAAGTTACAGGACAAGTTATAGGATTTCAAAGACTTGGTAAATAACCTACGATCAGAAAATTCAATTTGTTCATGAGGTGGAGAAAGGCATCCTGCTATTAAGTAGTCAGATGGAAAACATGCAAACCACAGTTTGTGGAAGAGAAAAGAACATTAAAAGCCCTTGCCCAGAAGCACAGGCAAGTGCAGGAAACACATTCAGCAAAGTCAACGTGTTCATTGTAAATGTGGGAAGCAGGAGCCTCAACACCAATTGAAATTCCAAACTGTAATAACCTGAGACATCACACCTAGGTCAATCCTCCAGTGGGGAACACTGAGGAGTCTATGAGATTCACTCATGCAGAACT